AAAAAAAAAAAATATTTGGTTGCTTAAAGAAATGAGAACAGCTTTGAAATAGACCAAATTTGGATTCATCAAATATTATTTAAAATCTCAAAAGTTTTTACTGGGAATTTATGCATTACTGTTTACCCCAAAAATTTAAATCTCTAACAAAATTTGTACTTTTTTTCAAATGCTAAACTGTAATCAATGAAAATTAATTCAGTAGGCAATTTCTGAAGAACAAAACAAAAAAAAAGAACTTTGAAACCTATTTTTTAGAAAAGAGGCTTTTTGGTTTTTTTACTTTTTTTTGCAAGTGTTTATAGTATTTTTTTTTTCATATTCAAATTGAATGTTTTTTTTTTGATGTAAAAGTTGCTTTATAAACATTAAAAAAGAAAAAAAAAATTTTTTTTAAAGATATTAAAATTGGTCAACTAATGTATCCATTAACTGCCGTTACATTTTTGCTGCTGTTTATTAGCTGAACTTTCGAACAACGATGAATAATAAACCAAAAAAAAAAGAAGAAAAAAAAAGAAAGAAATAGTAGGCAAAAAAAAAAAAAGAAAGTAACAGTTAATTTTTCTAAGATATGTATTTTTTTTTAATTTACTTTTATGAATTACTTTTATGAAATTTATATGAAATAAAAATAATTTGTTTCATATAAATTTCATCTGAAAAAAAAAGAAAATATACCACTTTTTTTTTTGCTAATAAAATTTATTCTCTTTTTGCTTAACAAAAAAAAAAATTTATTAAAAAAAAGAAAAGAAGCAAAAAAAAAAAGATGGTAAATAAAGTTGGACGATTAATTACTGATGATACATTGCGCGTAAGTTGCTTAATTTATAAGCCATAAACAAAAAATTACCTACCAAATATTTTTCTTCCATACAGTCAATATGTGGCCCAATAATACTGAAATATTTGATTCCTTGTGGTGAACTTGCATAAGGTATATCAATAATTACCTAAATTCAAATCACTTAGTTTAGTTTTTGTTAATCCAAACTTAGTACTACAAAGGTAAAAAAAAAAAAATCCACTATTTTTATCCACTATTTACCCAAAACACATTTTTGCTTTTCTTTTCCTTCTTCATTTTTTTTCTTCAGTAGCACCTTTTTTAAAACAGTAGTGTTTGAAAATTATACTATATAACCAGTCATTACCTTAATGTAGTATCGTATAGTGCCTAGTTTAGTTTCCAGCGAACAAGGCAGTGGACATTGTGGTAATGAAAAATGGAACGGTAATTGATGCATACCCAACGGCATTATCGGTATACTTTCACAGTCTTCAGATTTATCTTCAAAAAAAAAAAAGTCAGCGCTACAGCTAAAAGATTTATCAACGAAAATAAAAAAAAAAAAACAACTGATAGAGTAATTTTTTAAGTAACCTTTTCCCCATATAATCTGTTTTTCATCAATTATATACTGATCATCTTTAACTGTTCGTCGTTCACCAGATTTAGTAATTTTTAATTGTGCATGTGCTTTTCCACGAAGCAATACCCGAATTCCTATAGAGAGCATATTAAATAAAACCAAATTGTTTTGAAAAATAAATTGTAAAGATAATATTGCAGGAAAAAAGTTTTATTCTTTTACAAAAATCTTTCTTTTTTTTTCTTCTCCCTTTCTCTCTCTCTTCTGCATATACTGTATAAGTTTTGTTCAATTTATTCAGCAAAAAAATTTTGTATCAGCAATATTTTTTTTCTCGTTTTTTATCTTATTATACTTTTATACTTATATAAAAAAACTTTAAACAGCGGTAAAACTGAATAAGTCTGTTGCGAAACACCAAAAAAAGAAAAGAAAAGAAAAGAGAGAATGAGTATAGCAAAAAAGAAGAAATCAAAACTTGAAAGTTGTAAGAAAAAAAATTTGTGAAATTTGTTGATCTTTTTACCGTTTTTTTTCTTTTCAATACTTTTTCTCAACTTATCATTCAAAATTTTCATTGTAGAATTCTTAGTTTTTTTTTTTTAGAATGAAAATAAGCTGAGGTTGCTGTGTAGTAACAACGAAAACAAAAAACTATAAGCGAAAAAAAAAGGTAGTAGAAGCAAAAAAGGTTTTTTTTTTGGATCATTGGCAACTAATTATATGATAAATGTGTTCTCGTTTTTTTTTTTTTTTTTTTTGGAAATAACAAACCTTTAATTTTGATATTTTCAACATTTTCTATCAGAACATTACCGCGCACTAATTCACCAGCATAATAAACATCATTCTCTAATCGTATATCAAAACTTGTTATGTAATCCATCGATCTGTGAAAACACCAATTCAACTATACAACTTTTCTGAAAAAAACGACTAACAAATGTAAAAAGCAGAGGAAAAAAACAGAAAAAAAAAAGAGAAAAACTTTATTTTGTTATTTGTTGCTGTTTTAACCATTTCAGTTATACATAGTTTTTTTCTTTTTTTCTAACAACTGACAACTAAAACATCAAACCATCAATGGAAAAGTAGCAAAAAAAAAAAAAAAAAAAAAAAAAAAAAAA